TTGTGGTCTACAGTGCCAAAAGCTGCACTGAGGTCAAGCAGGACCATGACAGAGCATTTCGCTGCATCAGCAGCCATTAGGAGGTCATTATGCACCCTTACTAGAACAGTCTCAGTTGAGTGCTGTGTTGGGTGATGGTCCTGCAGATGTGTCATGAGATTTGAGGCGTTGCTGCCTTTCATAGACACTTTTTCCTGCTTGTGCTACAAACAGGATAGCCATCTTCTATCAACTGTACCTTGGCATTCTTCAAATATCCAAAAAACGCCTATACTTCCGACTTTGTCTTCTTTGAGGGATAATAAATGTCCTGAGTGCTGCCGTCTCCTCCTTTGGCCATTATTTCAGCTTTAGCTTCGAGAAAGTTTTGGCTGTAAACAACAAAGTGCGCATGTGCCACCGACAACTTCAGCAGATGATACGGTGGCTGGTAAGGGTCACGGCGCCAACACCGCAGCCACGGTAATCCACCGAGATAATATATTTTTTTAAAAACAAGACGGTTATTATTATTGTCAACTTTTTTACCGGGGTTTACCGCTACACTGGGCTGCATGGTGGCGCAGTTATTAGCACTGTTGCCTCGCAGCACGAAGGTTGCAGGTTCGAAACTCGGCTGCAGCCTTTTTGCGTGGAGTTGCGTGTTCTCCCCATGCATGCGTGGGTTTCCTCCGGGTACTCCGGTTTCCCCCACAGATCACAACATGCCCTATAGGTTATAAATTGTAAGTCGCTTTGGATAAAAGCGTCTGCTAAATAAATAAACATAAACATAAACACTGGTTACCGTGACAACCCTACTGTCTAACTGTGTACTATTTCAATGCATGTGAACTTTGTGGTTAATTTAGCGTTTTAACACACACACACGCGCACACACACACACATGCGCACACACACACACACACACATATATATATATATATATATATATATATATATATCAGGGGTGGACCTTTAAAGCGCCCGAGCGCCAATGGCGCTAAATTTTCTCGTCGGGCGGTAAATACTTGACAACTTACCGCCCGGGTGGCACCCAAGCCTCGTTTGTCATTTACACACCAGCTTTCACCTACATCATGGCCGCGCCCTGTAGGAAGCCGCCGTTTTCGTTTCG